ACAGGTGGCTGTTAGGAAGTGAATAGCAGTAGGTGTCCTTCTAATTAGGTTAGACACTGTCTAGTGCACTCAGCGAGGATCTTGTCTCTGTGAGGCACGCATCCCCAGAGGGGCTTTGATGCCTCCCTCTGTAGGACCTGGAGCATGGACATCCAGGAGGATCGGGCCAAAATAAAACTTCATCTTAGCTGATGACAAAAATGGAGACTTAGGATGAAAGATATTATTTATTTATTTATTTAGTTGTTTGTTTTTAGACAATCTGCTGTATTATTTAGGCTGGTCTTGAACTCATTATGTAGCCCAGGCTGGCCTTAAACTCATGGAAATCCTCCTGCCTCAGCCTCCCAAGTATTGGGATTACAAGTGTGTGCCACCATGCCCAGCTGAGTTTTATATTTAGTTTATTTTGTGCTGGAGATTGAACCCAGGGTTTCATGCATGCTAAGCACATGTTTTACCACTGAGCTACCTTCAGCCCCAGGATCTCTTTCTTTAAAAGAACAATATACTATCTTTGTAATAATTGGATGATGTTTAATGTTGGGTGTTTTAATGAATAAATTATGGGAAATACAAAGTTATAACTCCAGGGGCCTTTGGCATGGAGGGGTCCATATTGCGTCCCTCGGTAGACACTGGGCTGAAACTCTGCCTAGTTTAATTTCCTGGGAATCAGTCTTTCTAAAAACTCAAAATTGCTGAATGAAAAATACAAAACATTGGCAGGTTTCACCACTCCTTTACAACGCATTCTGTAGCTCTTCTCTGTGCTTTTTCCATAATATTTTGTTTCTTTTAAAATTCAATTTGGAGAGGAAGGGAATAAAGAGAATTAAGATATATTAAGTATATGTACCTACTCCCTAAGATGAATGTAAACATTTTATACTGCAAACATCTACTAATACAAAATAAAATAAAGCCCACTTTGTTGAGGTATAATTTTCATAAATAAAATGTGCAAATTTTAAGTGTGCATCTTGGTGAGTTTTGAAAAAATAATACACATGCAATCACCACCACAGCCAAACAAAATATTTCCACTGGCTCCCAAAATTTCTTTGCGCCACCCCTTTTTTAGGGGGCGTTGAGACAGACTCTCTACGCAGTTCAGGCTGGCCTTGAACTCACTGTGTATCCCAGGCTGTCCTCAGACTCGCAGTGACCCTCTTGCCTCAGCCTCCCAAGTGCTGAAATTACAGGCGTGCACCATCAAACCTGGGTTTCTTTGTGCTCATTTTCTTTCTTTTTTTTTTAGTCTCTTTGAAACAGGGTTTCGCTATGTGGTTCAGGCTGGCCTTGAGCTCACTTTGTAGCCCAGGCTGACCTCGAACTCGCAACGATCCTCCTGCCTCAGCCTCCCAAGTGCTGGGATTATAGGCGTGCGCCACCACGCCCGGCCATGTGCTCATTTTCAATCAGTGTCCATTTTCTTATCCCAGGCAACCATTGATCTGTTATGTTACTATAGATTAGTTTTACAGGTTCTAAAACTTTATTTAAATGAAATGATACAGTATGCAGTTGTTTTAGGTAGCGAGGATTTGCATAAAATGCCACTGACTATGCAGCTTAAGCAACAGAAATTTATTTTCACAGCCCTGGAGGCTAGAGGTTCAGGATCACAGTGTCGGCAGGTTTGGCTTCTCCTGCGGCCTCTCTCTTCGGCCTGCAGCGGGCTGCCTTCTCCCTGTGTCCTCCTGTGACATTTTTCTCAATGTGCACACATCCCCCCTGCTTCATCCTCTTTCGGTAAGGACACCCGTCCTGTGAGGTAAGGTCCCATTTTTTGACCTAATAAGTGTGTGACGGTTTCTCATTGTGATTTCAATTTGTATAACCCCGATGCCCAATCATGTTGGGCATCAGGTACTTACTTGTCATCCAGACATCTTACTTGTAAAGTATATATGCAAATTTTTTGCCTTGGAGGAGGTGCTAGGGATGGAACCTTATGTATGCTAGACAAGCACTCTACCACGGAGCTATATCCCCGGACCCTTACTTATTACCTTTAGTTTTTAAAGACTTTTTAAAAGAGCAGACTTCATTTCACAGCAAATTTGAGAGAAAGATCCAGAGATTTGCTGTATACTCCCTGTTCCGACTCAGGCACAGCTATCCTCATTACCCACCTCCCCTGGCATTGTGGTGCAGTTGTTACCACTCATGGGCCCAACATCAACACATCATTATCACCCAAAGACCGTACCTAGGTTTAGGGTTCGCACTTAGAGTTGGGTTTGGACAAAGGTATAGTGACAGGTTCCTACCATTCCATGATCATACAGCCTCACTTTGTAGCCCAGGCTGGTCTCGAACTTGCAACAATCCTCCTGCCTCAGCCTCCCGAGTGCTGGGATTACAGGCGTGTGCCACCACGCCTGGCCTAACATTTTTCATAATATTCCTTCTAATGTTCTTTCATTACCTGTAGACTCACTAGTGAAGTCACTCCTCTCGTTTTTGATTGGTGCCCTTTCTCTGATTCCTCACCCATGTGGCCAGTTACATCAGTATTAATGAAATGCTCAAAGAGCTGGCTTTGGACTTTATTGGTTCTCCATTGCTTTTCAGTGTTCTACCTCATTAATTTCTGCTCCGATCTTTATTATTTCCCTACCTCTGCCTATTTTGGGTTCTGTTTGCTCGTCTCTTTCTAGTTCCTTAAGGTGGAAGCTGAGGCCATTGTTTGGAGAACTTTCAAGTACCAGTTTAGTAACACAAATTCTTAGACACTGTGCTTTCATTTTCATCCCATCCAAAATACATTCTAATTTCCCTTTTGTATTTTTCTTTGACCCATAAGCTATTTAAAAGCCTATTATCTAGATTCCAAATATTTGGGGATATTCCAAGAATCTTTCTATTATTGACTTCTAATTTAATTCCACTGTGGTGAGAGAACATGCTTTTTATGACTTGGATCTTTTTAAATTTATTGAGACTTGTTTTATGGCCCAGAATATGGCCTATTTTGGTAAATGTTCTTTGTGCATTTAAGAAGAATGTGTACTCTGCTATTGTTGGATGAAAGAGTCTATAAATGTGTTAGGTCAAGTTGATTGATGGTGTTATTCAAACGTCTATATCCTTGTTTATTTTCTACCTACTTGTATGTCAATTATTTTGAGGTAATATTGAAATTGCCAAATATGATTTTGATGTATATATTTGTCTTTGTAATTATTTCCATTTTTGCTTCATATATTTGGAAGCTCCGTTATTAGGTGCACAAAATTTTAGAATTCTGATGAGTTGATTCCTTTATCATTATGAAATGACCTTCTTTATACATAGTAATGTCCTTTGTCCCGAAATCTCTGTTTGATATTGTCATTCGATCTTTCATTTCATGTTAACATGGTATACCTTTTCCATCCTTTAATTTTTTTTAACGTATCTGGTCTCTATATTTAAAGTCCTCTTATAAGCACCATATAATTTAGTCTTGCTTTTTTATCCAATCTGACAACCTCTGCCTTTTAATTAGAGCATTTAAACCATTTACTTTTATTTTTCACCTCAAAGAAATATGTGGGGTGTTTTGTTTTGTTTTGTTTTGTTTTAGTTGTGGTAAGATACGCATAACATTTACCATCTTAACCATTTTAAGTATACAGTTCAGTCATGTTAAGTGTATTCACATTGTGCCACCAATCTCTAGGACATTTTCACCCTGCAAAATTGAAAGTCTGTGCCCCTTAAACCGCTTCCTACTTCCCTCTTCCTCAGCTCCTGTTTCTGTTTCTGTGAGTACTCTAGGTAGCTCATTCGTGTGGAACTATACTGTATAGATCATTTACTTATTACCCTGAGACATGGTTTTGTTATGTGGTGCAGGCTGGTCTGGGACTCCTGGGCTTGCTCAACTGATCCTTCTGCCTTAGGCTTCCAAGTAGCTCAGCCTATAGGAACATGAACCATGGCCATCCAGGATTCACTTTTTTTTTTTTAACTGGGAACTGAACCCAGAGCCCTCCCACTGAGCTACAGAATCAGCTCTTTGTTTAGTTTAGCTTTTGTTTGTTTTTTGTTGTGTCTTAGAGACAAGGTCTTGCTAAATCATCATGTTGCCCAGGCTGAGCCTGAACTCACAATCCTCCTGCCTCAGGCTTCCAGAGTGTTAGGATGACATGTATGTGCCATCACAGCCAGTTTAGAATGTACTTTTAATATGATTAACAGATTTCATCTTGTTTTTTTTTCCTATATTTCTTCCATTTCTTCTTTTTCTCAGTCTTCTTTTGGGTTAATTGATATTTTATGGCTCTATTTTATGTCCATTCTTTGTTTAGTAGCTATAATTTACTGTTCAGTTGTTTTAGTGGCTGCTACAGGGCTTATAGTATAGGAATATCTCATCACGATCTGTCTTCTCCTCTTGACATACAGCCTAAGAACCTTACTACAATGTACTTCCCTGTCTCCTTTTCTGACCTTTCAGCTTTCATTGTTACACTTTGTACTTATACATGTTATAAGCCACACATTATGTACTTTTTGTGAAAGCAATTATCTTTGAAAAAGATGTACACTGTTTTTAAAATTTTTTTATTTTTGGTACTGGGAATTGAACTCAGGACCTTGCGCTTGCTAGGCAGGCACATGTGCCACTGGGCTGTATCCCCAGCCCTATAAACTGATTTTTAAAACCTTGTGTTTTGCTCTCATTCCTTTGTGTAGATCTTTGTTTCCATTTAGTAACATTGTCCTTCTGCTTACAGATTTTCTTCAATAATTTCCTAGAGTGCAGTTCTGTTGGTGATGAAGTCTTCCAACTTTTGTGTGTCTGAAAGGTCTTTATGATACTTTTATTTTTTTTGTTTTTTTCCGGTACTGGGAATCAAACTCACGACCTTGCGCTTGCCAGGCAGGCACTGTGCCACTGAGCTAAATCCTCAACCCCTTTATGATACTTTTAAAAAGATATCTTTCCTGGTTTAGATTTAAATCTCAGATTGACAGGTTTTTTTCTTTTTTCTTTTTGGTACCAGGAATTGAACTCAGGATGCTGCACTTGCCAGGTAGGTGCTTATGCCACTAAGCTATATCCCTGGCCCCAGTTTTTCTTTCTTTCAGCACTTCAAATATCTTTCTGTGTGCTCCTCTCACATGTAGTGTTTCCAGTGAGAAATCTGCTGTTAGCCTTACATTTATCCCTCTGTATATAATTTGTTCCCCACTACCACAACCCTGACTGCTTCTAAGGTTTTCCCTTTGTCACATGTATTGAGAAATTTGATTACACGTGCATTCGTGTCATTTCTTTAGATTTCTTTGAGGTTCACTGAGCTTCTTGGATCTATGGGTTTATAGCTTTCATCAAATAGAGAAAATTTTGGACATTATTTGTTCAGATAATTTTTTTGTACTCTCCTTCCTTGTCAGGGACTCCAGTTTATACCTATCAGGCTGCTTGAAGTTGTCCCATAGTTTGCTGATGCTTTTTTTTAAACTACTTTTTTCTGTCAATGTTGAATAGTTTCTATAGTTCTGTCTTCTTGTTTGCTATTTTCCTTCTCTGATATCACATTATCTAATCTCTCAGTGTAATTTTCATCTTACTCACTGGTCTTGTTTTCATTGTTTTGCTGTTTTGTTTTGTTTTGCTCTTTTGTGGTACTGAGGCCTGAACCCGAGAGCCTTGAACATACTAGGCAAATGCTCTACTGCTGACTTACAACCTGAGCCCTTTTTAAATTTTTTGTTTTGAGTGGAGGCCTTGCTAAATTTCCCAGGCTGACCTTAAACTTGCCACCCTGCTGCCTCAGTCTCCTGAGTAGCTGGGATTATTGTCATCCACCCCTGTGCCGGGTACTCATTCGTGTTATTCACTGTGGTTTTAATCTCTAAAAGTTCCATTTGGCTCTTTTTGTGTGTGTGCGTGTTTTTGAGACAGGGTCTCGTTATGTAGTTCAGGCTGGCCTTGAACTCACTTTGTGGCCCAGGCTGGTCTCAAACTCCCAACGATCCTCCTGCCTCAGCCTCCTGAGTGCTGGGATTATAGGCGTGTGCCACCACGCCCAGCTTTATTTGGCTCTTTTTTATATAATGCATGTTTTTAATATGTAGTTATAACTATTGTAATATCCTTTCATGCTCATTCTAACATCTCTGTCGCTTCTAAGTCATTTTTGATTGATTCATTTCTTTTCTCATTATGGATTATACTTTTGCATATGTGGTCATCCTTTTTGTTGTTGTTGTTGTTTTGTTTTGTTTTTTTTCCGGTACCGGGAATCGAACTCACGACCTTGTGCCTGCCAGGAAGGCGCTATGCCGCTGAGCTAAATCCCCAGCCCCTGGTCATCCTTGATTAGATGCCTGATGCTATGAATGGTACCTTAGTGAGTACTGGATATTTTAGTATTTCTATAAATGTCCTTGTGCTTTGTTACCAAATCCAATTAGATTGCTTGGAAACAGTTTAACCTTTTTATTTATTTATTTATCTATTTTCTGCTATGGAACCCAGAGCCTCATGCATACCAGGCAAATACTCTGCCACTGAGCTATGTCCCCAGTCACACTTTCATAAATTTTTATTTTGAGATAGGGTTTCACTAAATTGCCCAGGTCAGGCTGGCCTTGAACTTATAATCCCCCTGCTTAGCCTCCCAAGTAGTTGGAAATATAGGTACATACCATAATGCCTGGCTATTATTCCATCTTGACTGAAAGCAAAAACTCTTCTTTCTCTCCACTTTTTTCTTTTCTTTTTTTGAGACAGGCCTTGCTATGTAGTCCAGACTGGCCTTGAACTCACTATGTAGCCAAAGCTGGCCTCAAACTCACGGCAATCCACCTGCCTCAGCCTCCCAGGTGCTGGGATTACAGGCCTGCGCCACTCCACCCTTCTTCTCTTCACTTTCTTCTCCTTTGTAACAACTAGAATAGTGCTGGACACACGGTTGACTCATTCATTATCTGCTGGAGTTAATTCACCTTTGTAAGTAACGATACACAGCAAGTTTGTTTAGAAGTATGATAGCAGGTGATTACGTTAAAGTCCAATAACAAATTCTTTTCATTCTTGCTGAAATGAAGACCAAATTCATTTGTGAAATTGCATAAAGATAGATTTAAAATTTTTGTGATATGCTATATAGAAATGGTTTTTAAATGTGGACCTGCCTTCCATTATTTTTACGATGTTTTCTAACTTACAGTAAATGAAAAATGCAGACTCAGTGCCTGTTCAGCAGAAGCCACATTCAGTGTCACCGCCAGAGCCTTCTTGGATCCCTGGGACATGGTAATACTCAGTAGGTAGGGGACTGGGGATTTAGTTCAGAGGCAAAGCACCTGCCTGGCAATTGCAAGGTCGTGAGTTCGATTCCTGGTACCGGAAGAAAAACAAAACAAACAAACAAATACTCAGTAGGTGTGCACAGAACGATTGAATGAACAAATGTGTTTGGGGTAGCATGCCTTTTACTTCATCAAACAAGATAATTTATTACACGAACATCCCATCTGAGATAGCTAGCTTTCCATTTTATAATTTGAGGCTGTGTTGGTTATAGATTCTTGCTTTTTCTGGCCTCTTTATAATGTGTTTTGTTAGCCCTCACTTTGCAGCATTGTTTTGACAGATGATGTTAAAGGTGTGTGTGTGTGTGTGTGTGTGTGTGTGTGTGTGTGCGCGCGCGCACGCGCGTATGTGCTCATGCGTATCATGCACAAGTTCTGAGGATGGAAACCAGGGCCTTTACATCAAGCAATATCCCCAGCCCTTTTATCATTTTTTATTTTGAGACAGGTCCTTACTAAGTTGTTAAATTGTCCAGGTGAGATTTGAACTTGGGATTCCCCTGCCTCAGCATCCCAGAGTGCTGGAATTGCAGGTGTGTGCCACTGAGCCCAGCTCTGATTTGTAAATCTTTTTTTTTTTGTGGTACCAGGGATTGAACTCCCGACCTTGCGCTTGCCAGGCAGGCGCTTATGCCACTGAGCTATATCCCCAGCCCCTCTGATTTGTAGATCTTAAGGAGGAGATTTGACTTACGCTCTTGGCAGCATCAGACTCACCTAACGCCTTGACTCCTAGCTTAATTCTTGGGGAATCTCGGGGCTGTCATCGTTCTCAAGTTGCCCATCTTGCTCTGATGCCTTTCTGTGGCCCATCCAAATCTCACTCATCCTCCCAGTCCTGCTTCAGCCTTCCTCTGTGGAGCCTTCTCCTCCTACCACAATCTCACCCTTCTGCCTGCTCCTCAGAACGTGTCTTTTCCAGTCACTTGGTATTTAATGGACCATGCTGCTGCGTCATACTCTTTGTGTATATGTGGGAGCATCTGTCTCTACCAGTGTGGAGCCACCTTCAGAAGAGAGACTCAAGCCAGGCTGGTGGCACACACCTGTAATCCCAGCATTCTGGGAGGCTGAGGCATAAGGATCACAAGTTTGAGCTCAGCTTGTACAACTTAGTGACCCTGTCTCAAATTTTTAAAAGTTTAAAAAAAATTTAAAAGGTGGCCTACATGTGCCCAACATAGTGATAACAGCGACTGCCATAACCACCACTTATGGAGTACTTATTGTGTGCCAGGCCGTATTCTAAGGACTTTTAATGAATGAGCTCAGTTCATCTTCATCCATTTTACCAGGGTAATGCTATTATTATCCTACTCTCCAGCTGAGAAAGTGGCAGCCCAGGGGAGCTGTCACTTGCCCAGGTTGCTAGCAGAGCCAGGATTCAAATTCAACCTCTCTGGCTCCAGGAGCTGAGCCCACAACCACCACACTCGCCCATGGCACCGGCATGCAGTAGTTGTTCAATAAATATTTGTTTGGAGGTGATGGAGATTGAACCTAGGGCTTCACAAATGCTAGACAAGTGCTTTATTGCCGGGCTACACCCTCAACTCCATTTCTGTTAAACGAATGAACATGTGGAGGCTTGGTCTGTGCGGGAGACTCAGCAGCGGAGACCCTGTCCTGTTCCTTTCTCTGCTTCTCTCTTCCCATCACTATGGGAACATCATTGCTGTTGATTCAAGAGGGAGGGCCTGTGTGGTCCAGAAGGAAAAAGAGCGGATGGGAAGTGGATGGCTTCGCCCCTCTTCTGCTTTCCTCCCTTGGAGGTTGGGCAGAGAGCAAGTCGGAACAGTTCTGCTTCCTGCCACCCGCTTGCTCCGAGAAGCAGCCCCCAAATGGGAGCAGGGAAAGTAGTGGGGGCAGCGGTGTCCTCAGGATCGCTGGTTTCTGGGGCCCTCGCCTCTCAAGGCTCAGTCAACCGGATGTCCCCTTAGCTTGCCGGAATTTGGCTGGATTTGCAGAGATAAGATCAACCTGACCTTTAATTCCCCAAATGCAATTTATGGGCTTGCCTCCTGTGTGCTGCAACACGTCTGGCTATCCCAAATCTGGTAATTATTTATGTAAACACAGCATCCTGCCTTTGTGGATTATAATTGCACTTGAACAGCAAGAAACAAGGGCTTACCCGGTAGGGGCTGGACTGAAATGCTCCTTTTGAAAACACTCACCTGAGTCTTTGAAATCTTCCCTGTGGCTCGTGGATAACTTTAACCAGACAGGAGGAAAAAAAAAAAAATTTTTTTTTTTTTTTTGCCTGTTCTTCCAGCAGGCCTGGGCAAATTTATTCCCCAGCACCAGTAGGTTCTGTAGGGCCTCTCAAAGCAAGGGGTGGATGAAGTGTTCCAACCATCCTGGCTGGACCCACACTGAGAGGCACGAGCCCTGGGCTGGAGGCTTCCGAGGGTCTCCTCATTGTCTGCTGGAACATGAATTTTACACCCCTGCTAAGAATAAACAGGATTAGGAATTTTATGCTGTTTGGAAAAGAGGAGAGGTGGCTGGCGAAAGAGAAAGGTCTTTGCTTTTTATTCATGCTGCGAGCTCCCCAGGAGCATTTGCTGTACATACACACAGGAGAGCCAGAGGATTAGGGCAAGAAAATGAGCTGATTGAACCAGATGGTTCGGGAAGCACTCCCAGGAGGCCACTGGGGAGGATGAATCTGCATCTTTAAATAACATTAATTTCTGAAAGGCCCAAATTGTTTCCTAAATTGCTGCGCTGAACTCCTAGCTTTCATCTATTTTTATGGCACCTCTCCTGGATGCAGGCAGGAGCTGCTGCATTCTGATGAACCAGCTTTGGAGAAATCCTCCACGCTGAGAGTGGCCAGAGAGCCAGGAATCCGTTTCCTGAAGGAGAAAGAAATCTTTAAGAATCAAAGTGCCCTGAAAGACAGATTTCAGCAGAAACCACTACCCCTGGGTGATCTGAACAAACCAGAAAGTTCTAAGACCAGCTTGGGACACTCATTTGCTCTGTAGCCAGGGGCAAACCTCTTAACCTCAGTTTCCCTATCTGTAAAATGGGGTTAATCACCGTACCTGCTGCAGGAGCGCTGTAAGGTTTTAATTGGGTAATGGTTGTGGAGCCCTTTGATGTAGTAAGTTTTATTAACTTGCAAGGGATTCCCTGAGGCCAGCAAAAGCAGTTAAACCCAAGAGAAAAGAAAGGCATTAAAGCACAAGCAAAACTCTGCTGAGCTGAGTGTTTCACCTCTAGCTCTAATTTCAGAAGTGTCGAGGCGGGCCGATCCCCAGTGAAAGGAAAGCGAGCATGGGGCTGGAAGCTATCTGAAAGTTTGGTGGTTGGATCCAGGAGGGCAAAGTTTGGCCTGTGACTTTGCTTGCTAGAACCCTAATCATCCTTTGGCCTCACTGTCTCTTTCTAAGAGCAAGTCCCCAGTAAGAGTGATGCTGGTGCTAATCCGAGCCCCTTGGAATTGGATTTAGAAACCCCCAGCCTCTGGCCTCTCGATTTCCAACAATTAAGTAAAGACAGACCTCAAAGTCTGGTTTCTGGCCAGGGCTCCTGATCAGAGGAGGTTTGGGGGAACAGCACCCACCGAAGACCAGAAAACTGAGGTTTTGTTGAAGCCTCATCCTCCAACCCTCACGCAGCCCAACTTTGACTGTCAGGGCACCTCTGTGCCTCAGTTTCCGACTCCACAAACAAGATCCTAATCAGATACCCTTGCTTTAAAACCCCAAATAATAAACAATATTTTAAAATATTAAAAAAGCAATATTTAAAAATTGCAGGTGTGGTGGTCCACGCCTGCAATCCCAGCACTTGAGAGGCTGAAGCAGGAGGATCGCTTAGAGTTTGAGGCCAGCCTGGGCTACATAATGAGTTCAAGGCCAGCCTAGACTACAAAATGAGACCCTGTCTCAAAACCAAAGCAGAACAGAAAGGCCCAAATAATGAAATTTAGAATAATGCAGAAGTGCACTTTAAATTATAAAGCATACTCAGAACGTTAGCTATAATAATAGTTCAAACCCCTACTTTTTTGCTTCAGTAATATTTAAAAATTTCAGTTAGTTGAATAATTATTCCCCAAATCATCTTATACAGTCCAAGGCACCCCACTGTCCTCTTCCTCCCTCCCTTCTACTTCTGCTCCCCTCTCCTCCACATTGAGGGCCCACTAATCAGCCAAGGAGCCCGAGCATCAGCTACATGGACACAGCCTGCTGGGGTGAGCAACTTGTCCCAGTTTGCCAGGGACTGCCCCAGGTTTAGTACTGAAGATCACGCATGCCAGAGCCCTCCTCATCCCAGGCAAACTGGGATGGTGGGTCGAGGTCTTCAGGCCGCTTGGAAAGTGGTGGCGCTCTTCTGCAGGAAGCGGCTGTTGACCCGGCATAGGTATAGTCACATAGGCATCACAGGAACTGTGTAGAGGGAGGGACCTAGAGACGGCCCAGGAGATGGAAGACCCTGGGTCTACTTCTTGGTTCTGTTATTCTCTAGTGACCTCAGAGCAGGCCTGGCCTCGGTTTCCTCGCCTGTAAAGGGAGCTTGAGATGCGTGCTGCTGCGTGGGACCCATGAGAGGCCGCCACAGTGTGAAGACGCCGAGGACCCGAGTGCACCTCTGCCCGTGGGATGCTGCTGCTCGGCGCCCACTGAGACCTTTAACATCCTTTCTCTGCGACAAACAAGGATGGGCTGGGGGTGCTGGGGGTTTAGCTCAGTGGCACAGCGCCTGCCCGGCAAGCGCAAGGTCGTGAGTTCGATCCCCGGTACTGGGCTAGGAACGCACCAGCCTCTGGCTAACAGTCCAGGGCTGTTTATGTTTCTTGTTTCACTTTCCTTCCTCAAACCAGCATATTACACCCCTGAGAGTCAAAACTGTACTTTTCCAAGCTTATCTGGTTCAAGTTTGTCAAAAATGAATACAGAGTCTAAAAAACAAAGTAATTTAAAAGACCTACTGTTTCCTTTATCATAATTTACCAAGCTCTACATTTTTAGCGTGGTTTTCCATATGTATGTCTAATTTTATGATATAAAAAAACCTACAAGAAAAGGAAGAAAAATCATATTAATTATACATGTGTTTTTGTCCTCGTCCATATCCCCCACCTGAATCACTGCCCCTTTTTTTGACCTTTTTTAGACGGAACAGATAAATGGGACTGGAACTGGTTTCAGCCAAAGGGAGGGCTTCTTTGAGGGTAGGGTTGATTTTTTTCAGAGTATCTTTGACAAGCACTTGTGTTAATGAAAGCAGTCTTCTCATGACAGATCAGAACCTGGCTTTTACGGCATTAAAAAAAAGTAATTTATATTGGGAAGAAATGGGAAACAATGATTAAATCAAAGCCGCCCTCAGCAACCTCCCCTCACTCGCCCCCTCTGAAAACAGCCCTGTTTCAATTTCGCAGCTGAGCTCAGCCTGCCTGCTCCAGACGTCCAGATCTCGCACTCTATAAATCGTCTCTGCCCTTGCCCCGGAGTTGCTGACTGTATGTATTTTGGGGCCCGGCATTAATTCCCTCATCTTTGGCTGGTGACATTAAGATTTGTAACTGATAGAATGTGTTTTTAATGTATTTCCTGCAGGTTACTATTAAAGAAACGTAATTCTTCTGAACTTGCAAAAGGTTCTGCTTCCATTTAAGAAAAAGAAAAAAAGAAAGGAAGGTCTTATGGGAAGAATTTCCCAGCAACCTCCAAATGGACTGGGCAGCGGAGGGGTCAGGGGCTCCGGAATTCTCTGCTTATCTCCACTGCTCACTCTCCCCTCCCCCAGTCTTCTCTTTCTCTGCACCTTAGTTTTCCTGGGTATGAAATGAGGATAAATATTTGTCTACGAGATGAGGGTGTTGTAAGGATTAATTGGTTGGTGCTTCGGAAAGCCTTTGAAGATGAAAGACACTCTCTGCAGATGCTAAGTAAACTCGTAACGTGTCTGGTTTTAATGAGCCAGGTGAAGCCAGTGGGATGCCTGGGGATTAGCTGTGCCTAGCCAGGAGCCTGCCTGCATGGGCCAGACAAAGCTGGGTGGTGCTTGCCTCTGGTTCCCTGGGCTCCGTCCGTCTCTGCTTCCGCTGGCTCTCCGCGCACTGGTTATCTAGAAAGACTGTGGAAGCAAAGGCACCGAGGTGGAATTTAACCCACGCAGTAGATCCCAAACTCTGTGAACCGTGCTCATTGCTTTTCATTCTAGCACATGGCTTGGCAAGTTACTTACCTGAGTCTTGGTTCCTCATTTACCAATGGGGATAGAGCTCCCACCTTGTGAGGTTGTGGTGAAGATTTATTGTAGGAATGGTCCACAGCAACTAAGCACTTGTTGGACATCAGGTTCTATGCACTTTGTACTCCTGAGCTCACCAAATTCCCACACTAACCCTATGAGAAGGGGACTGCTGTTCTCACCTCATCCTGCAGCTCACACAACCGAGGCACAGACAGATTACCTGGTAGCTCACCCAAAGCCCAAGTCATTAAGTACTACCTAGTGGCTGGCGAAGCGGATACTTAGCAGGGCTCTGGACTCTTCCTGATTTGTAAAGAGATGTCCCACGGAGGTGTGACAGGACAGGCCCCGGGAATGTAGGCGCCAGAAGAGAAGGGACTGGAGTAGACCCAGACAGGGCTCGGAGCTGTGCAAGGACGCCAGGTCCGTGTGCACCAAGCCAAGGAGCGGGTTCTGCTAAGGTATGAGTCTAGGCCTGCTCAGGTGGCCACATCTGAGATGCACAATACTTCGTGAGAAGTACTTCATGCCAAACCCAGTACCTCAAAGACAGTCAGAGCTATGCAGTTTGAACGCTGAAATACTGGAGCTCCTGGGACTGTACTATGGCGTCAAGGACAGGTATCTTGGGAGGTGTGGACTGCATCGTTGCTATCCAGGCAATCAACAAAGCAGGGGATCAAAATGAAGCAAAACACGTTAAGACTAGCCCAAGCAATCATGCACTCCCATGAGCATCCATCGAAGCCCGAGGGGAAACAGAGGCCTGAAGGAAGAATGATTTCACTCCCAGCACTGTGACATCACAGCCCAGGCACTGACACAGGAGAGGAACCAGCTGAAAGTGGGCCGGGGAAGCCCCTGGTCAGAACAAAAATATCTTCAGCAACTGCTGTTGGTGATGGAAAGGGAAATGGAATTTTGTCTAAATATTATGTTGTTTTGAAAAGTCTGACTAATGTGAAAGTCCCTATTTAAAAAGGAGTTGACTCTACATTGAAATTGGTTGGCGTTTCCACACCCACATGTTGACTAAGGCCTTGAAAAACAAACTTCCTGGTAGATCCTGGTTCAAGTCACCTGGGAGGGAATGCTTCACGCTACAATCCACGAGCTGTGAGCAGAGGGGCCGGGCCAAGAAAAATCCTGCGTCTGTGTTTATGAAAAAGCAAACAGACCCCAAAAGGAGGCCCAGGTGTGAGTTGGCGGTGGGCACGGGCCCTCCAGGAAAGGACACAGGGCTCCAAGGAGGCCTGAGCGCAGCTTCTCTGGGACCCCACCCAGGGAGCCCGTTTCAGGGCCTTTCTCAGAAACAAGAAGAATGGGAAAAGGGAGAGGAGCAGTTTGCAGCCTTCTCTGGTCGAGCACTCACTAACCACCGTGTCACCGGTGTCCTCTCGGCATGGCCATAAGAAGCACTTGTTCATCAGTATCACAAGGTCCCTGCGCCAGATGCAGCTGGGCCTGGGAAGTTAAGTAGGGGGACTTCTGTCCCTGTGTGTCCCAGAGAGTTTCTATTTATGCCACTGTCCCTGCATAGTTAACGATAATTTTCTCCTTCATCTTCTAAAGTGCCTCCTTGAATGATAAATGATACCAGCATCCTAGATCATGAATTGCCCCAGTTTAGCCACTAGTAAGCGGCAGAGCTGGAGTTCAAAGCCAAGCTTTTCACCACTCAAAAAGCAGACCTAAGGGCTGGGGATTTAGATCAGTGAGCAGTGCCTGCCTGGCAAGCGTGAGGTACTCAGTTCGATTCCCAGTACTGCCTCCCAAAAAAAAGCAGACCTTGGGGAGTTCCTCTCCAATGTCCAAGGTCTTAAGCAGCACAAACTGAAAAGCCCGGCAGCCCTTTGGGAGTCGGTACCTGCTTCCCCTCCTCGTTGGGAGCCTGTCTGTTTGTCCCTGAGTAAGAAAAGACATAGCAGCCTCAAGGCTCAGCGTGAGGACACATGTTCACTAGAAACCCCCATTGCTGTGTGTATTTTGTCTGCTGAGGGTGCTTCTCCCAGCTGCTCTACAATGAGAATGCAGGAACTGGCTTCCCCACTGGGGCTTCCAGCCCAGCTCCCGAGCCCTGACCTGCAAGCCGCTCGCTGACCTTCCCTGCCTCTTCTTCTCTAGTACTTGCTGCGGTGCTTGTGAGATTGGCCTGTGGTTCCAAGTGCTGCTGACACATCTATTACGTGTTAAGTCCATGGCACTGACATAGTCCAAGCACCCTTTTACCCAGAAAGACACTCAGGTCCAGAGAGGGCAAATGACTTTCCCAGGCTGGGTTGTTCACAGTTTGGCCTGAGGCTGCTGGGCAAGGGAACACCTCCAGAAACACCGAGATGCCCCTTATGTGAGAGGACTTGTTGGATGCCAGAGACCAAGGTATGTTTAATCCCACCCCTCGGCTCTCAGCTAAGATCTCAGAGTTAGAGCAGGGCCTGCAACTGACCACCCAAAGAACCCACTGACCTGCCTCCCTGTGGGCGGTTTTGCACAGACACCCCAAGGGCAAAGAGCACACTGCCCCTGCAGTGCCCACTGTCCTCAGCTGACTGCTGGAATCCCGTCCGAGAGGCCTGTGGTTTCCTTTTACCCTGTGGGCTTGGTTCTTCCCCATGGCCCAATGCAGGCCCAGTCTGATAGCCCTTCTTCCCATCAGCTTTACAGTAGTGGGAGACAAAGCCTGCCAGTCTCACTCGTCTCACGTGATGTTGACTTGGAAGCTGCATTTGGGTTGTGGCTGTGATAGACAAGCCTGAGGTTGAAGCCCTTGCCTTTTAGCTCCTGTGTGGCTTTGGCCAAGACCCCAAACCTCTCTGAACTTCTGTTTGCTCATGGGAAATATGGGGAGATCATGATTAAGTAATGTCTTGTCTTCTCTTTTCTTTTCTTTTCTTTTCCTTTTTTTTGTACCAGGAACCAAACTCAGGACCTCACACTTGCCAGGCAGGCACCGTGCCACTAAGCTACATCCCCGGTCCATGGTTAAGTACTGTGCGCCTCTGATGATATAATGATATAATCCATATAACTGGCTGGATCCAGTGTCTGGCACAGTAAGCTCTTGTCAAGGAGAACAATTCACATTTTCACTTTCCTCCAACCTCAAACTCTATTTCTCTAATTGCGGCCCCAAAGTCTCAGCTTCTCTGGCTGGCATATCACAGGACGTGCTTCTGTCATCAACGAGAGTCACGTCCTTTATCCTATACGCCGTGCTTACGCGTCTCACCCCCGCCCGGCCTCCTCCCTGTCTTGTTTGCCTGTGTTCGGTCCCACACGGCAGCCCCCACATGATTCTTCATCCAGTTAGCAGCTGCCTGTCTTTGGACCACCAGAAACATCTTTCAGGATCTGCGATTCAGAGACCAAGGGGAGACGGTAACCATGTGAAACCCACAAAGGCCCACTCCCCCACCAGGTTCTGCCTGCCTCTTTCCTTTCCCACATTGCAAGTCCGCAAAAGCCTTCCTGGCTGCCCAGCGAGGTGACCCCTTCCGGCCTGACCGACCGCGCTGACATCCCTCCGGCGATTGTCTGTACAGCAGCCCTTGTGCTGCTTTTGAAGCTCAGCAGAGTGAAGCGTGATCCAAGTGAGCTGGACCATGTTTTGCTAAAGCAGCGCCCACTGCCTCAGGCTCCTCTCAGCAAAGCCACTCAGTGGGGAGCAGAGCTGGGCTAGGCCTTCTGACGTGGGTCCTCTAGTCAGTCCTTCTGCTGGCTTTGATCACATGCCATGAGGGTGTGGGTGTTCAGAGAGATAGCAGCACCCCGGTGGAAACACTAAACCCAGGGGTGGATCCCTGTGGGAGGACAGGTCAGGCTGTGTGTCCTCAAGTGTCCTGCCTGTCCTCTGGCTCTCTGGCTGTCTCTCCAAGCTTTTAGAGCACCTGAGGAAGAAATCCATCTTGTCCTACCCATGCCAGTTCCCGGTCCTCTTCAAGTCTTCTATTTCATTTCTTCCTAGCTTCATCTTATTGTCTTTCCTCATTCAGTCATTCATTCATTTGGTGCATGGGATTCACACATGCCAGACAGATGCTCTACCACTGAGCTACATCCTCAGCACCACCACCCCATTTCAAGACATAGTCTAAATAGCCCTAGTTAGGCTCAAATTTGCTATCCTCCTGCCTCAGCCTCCCAGATTACAGGTGTGTGGCACCACGCCTGGCTCATCTGAGCTTGCTAAGGACAAAATTCAAAGACATTGTCTCTTTGTGAAAGTCTACAGCAGTTATCAACTGACTTTTCACTATGAACACGTATAATGATGGACCAGTTCTGAGCTTGTCGCAAGAGCTGGGGCCCACTGGGAGCAGAGCAAAGCCAAATGTAGGGTCCAAGGGGTGAGAGCAGTGTTGTGGCTGAGACAGGAGCAGGGTTCAGGGTGACAGCACTGGTAGGGCAGGCAGTGGTGTCCTCATTGCTGGCGTCAGAACAGCGTAGGGCAGGCCAGTCTTTCAAGCCTGGAGCTGAATCCTGCCTGGCTCTGGGCCCTGCTGGCTGGACGAGGTGCACAAGTCACGGTTTCCTCTTCTGGAAACAGAGGGCAGAGTTGCGCTCCTGGAGAACTCATGTAACTGCTGACACAGTGCCTAGGACTTGAGGCAGGTGAGCAGAAGAAGGCAGGTTTGGTTCATCCTCCCTTTATATATTCACTCAGGTTCTTCTATCAGACTACAGTCAGGAAGGCAGGTGACAAATTCATTATTAGGACACTGGCTTGGCTGCTGCCACAAAGGCCAAAATAACATTAGCTTTGGGGCTGGGGATTTAACTCAGCGGCAAAAGCGCCTGCCTGGCAAGCGCAAGGTCATGAGTTCGGTTCCTGGTACCAGAGAAAAACCAAAAAAGAAAAAACAAAAGAGTTTTGTTTTTATGTTATCCTTCTTTTACTCTTTAAAATAAAAAACAATAAAAAAATTTAAAAAAATAACATTGGCTTTAACGAAGTGGATATTTCTCTCACACATAGCAGTTCATGTATAAGCAACATGGTGGACGCAGCAGCTTGACATCCTGTGGGCACCCAGGTTCCTTCTCTGTAGCTGCTCTACCACCCTGACACATAGCGTCTATCTCAGGGCCTGAGGTGGCTGCCCCAGCTCCAGCCATTGGGTTCACATTCCAGCCAGTAGGAAGGAGAACAAGCAGAAGACACCCCATTCTTCCCTACCAGGGGCTGACTAGGCAATTGCACACATCAGCACTTCTGAGAGTTCTAGGTCACTGGCCACTGG